ATCATGAAATGATGAAATGATGAAATGATGAAATGACACTTTGAAATGGATAATTGAATCATGAAATGACCAAATAAATAATACATTAATGAAATAATTGATTTGAATGATGAAATGAACAATGAAATGATGAATTGAATTATGAAATGATGAATTGAATTATGAAATGATGAATTGAATCATGAAATGATGAATTGAATCATGAAATGAACAAATGCTGGAATATTGACACAAATCCCCTCCCATAGTCCTATAATATGTTCCACATAGGCACGGGAAGAATTTAACTTTTTAACTTTTAATATCCTCGGTGAAATGTTTACTGCACACGCGGGAGGAGAATAGCTGCCACAATCAGTGCTTGGAGTTATTATTCTAAATCAGTAAATTAATCATTCTGATTATGATTACTCCAAGTCCAAGCTCAGTGTCTGCTCAGCTCATATCCACTGTGGATAAATAATACATGTATTATTGGCTCTTGAAATAAAATATAATGCTATAGTTGGGTTATAATGTCAGACTCTATATATGCCTATGGTTGGTTCCGTAGAAATGGATAGCGCCGATATCATTTCTATTTCTATGGTGACTTCATTACGAGATCGCCGAGATGAGAGTGGGAAGAGATCCAAAGCGTATCACGCGCACGCACGCATGCACGCATGTATATATATATATATAATACATATATAATACAAGTGTATAGTATGAGAGGATTCCGTATGCGAAAGCGATCCTCTCTGTTACGCGTGACTGTAGCTGTCATGTTCTCCGTGCTCTATATGAGAACTTCTGAGAGACTTCTAAGACTGATCGAGAGGCGTACCTAGCCATCTCCTCTGGCAGTGGCGGATCTAGAGGGGGTTGGGGGGTTGCAACTCCTCCGTTCAGCCACTGACTAATGTTATGATACTAGGGCCGTAGGCTGAGCAAATTCATGGGGAGGGGGCAAAATTTCATGACTCAATTGTGTAATTGATGAGGGACGAGCGCAGCTCTTGATCGACGTCCATAGTGGGGTGGGTCTGAGGCAAGGCTTTCACGGATAAGTGACCAAAAAATTCTTTACAAAATAGTCTTTTTAGGCGTATTTTAATTTTGCTCCAAAATCTAGGGGGCAGCCGTTCCCTAGCCACCCACAGCCGTAGTTAAATTGGTTAGTAAATTAGGGCCAAAAATATTTTAAAAAGGTCAGTCTGCGGGCTGGGATCGAGGATTTCCCCTGTGGCCACACAGCTGCCTGAATTTTCCAGGTGGGGTGGCATCAACGCCTTCACTCAAATATCCTCCCCCCCCCCCCGTCTCCTAAAAGCTAGATCTGCCCCTGTCTGGCCATCCTCCTCTGTTACATGAGACGCTCACAGGAAATAGAACACGCGTCCACGCTCTTACTGGAGAAGAACGAGTAAATGTTTACAAAAATTTGCAGTCTGTAAAAATGATAGAGTATACTGAAGTTTTTTTCTTCTAGTTACTCAAAGTTGAAAATGTGGTCCGTATTTCGAAACCGTTAGTACAAAACAAACATGTTTTTTTGGTGAAAAAAACTATTAAAAACAGGTGCGATGCCACTATTTACAGTAAAATGGGCTGGGGAAAATATATGTATATTTCATCAAAAATAATCATCATAAATAATTATGACCGAACTTTGATTATTATACGTCTCGATTTCTTTTATGAACATTGTATATTTTAGAGATGAACACATCATTACTGATTTTGGAAAAATGGTAGAAATTTCTTCAGAGTCTCTGTGTACAGAGCGTGTCTATAAAAGACATATGATAGAATAGTCGTTTTTATAATTCCTGTGTGCGCCCCATCATAGATTGTACCACCTCACGAAATCATTGTTCGGGAAACTATCATTTTACACAAATATTTCCAAACTTGAGAAATAATAGTTTTCATCTTTCAAATGTTCCCTCCCGGGCGATAAATTCGCAATCCACGAGCTGGGTGGGAAATAGAATAGAAAGGACTGATAACCTCATAACGTCTCTATCACGAGGGTTCGCTAAATTATGAACGATATCATCCCCTAGATGGCGCTAAAAGACAATAGTTCATCGTAGAGCAGTACGGCCGCTTGCCGTCTTGTTCACTGATCTATATCATATAATATATCAAATATATATATATAATATTATACGTATAATATATATATATATATATATCATATATAGCGGGCGTACTACCTTGGCTGCCGTGTTACCTATAGGTGGTCGGATTACCTATAGGCAGGCGTATTGCCTATAGGCGGCGGGCGTATTACCTAGGCGGCCGTGTTACCTATAGGCGGTCGTGTTACCTAGGCGGGCATGTTACCTAGTCGGGCGTGTTACCTATAGACGACCGTGTTACCTATAGGTGACCGTGTTACCTATAGGCGGTCATGTTACCTAGTTAAGCGTGTTACCTATAGGCGACCGTGTTACCTATAGGCGGTCATGTTACCTAGGTGCGCGTGTTACCTATATACTGGACTCCTGCTAGCGCCTTCACGAATCGATCGACTGTTGAGGCCGCCTATAGCGGACAATGAATGATCCCGCGTAACTTCTTCTCATCCGACGGTTGCACCTCTCGGGCCGGCAGATGGGAAGCAGATCTGGGAATCGATGACATGGTCGCCCAGAGCCGAGACGGATTGGTTTATTGGTTTCAGGCCAGGAATCATAGGCCGGGTGTCCGGAGACGAATAAATGTACTTTTCGCTGCCTATACTGGCGTTGTCGCGTGTCCTTTGTTTAAACTCTCTCGCATTTACTGCAGTGACAGCGAGGAGCTTGGAAACTCACGTTCTCACTTTTACCGATGTGCCGTCATCAAATAAATGAGTAAATAAACAAAGAAATGAATAAATAAATAAATAAATAAATAATTGAACGACGAACTCGTGGTGAGATTCACATTCACCCTACAGGAAAATGGCCGTCCGCATTTTTTCGGGCCTTCCGCGGTCATTCAGTCACGGGACGGGTAGAGGCATCGGCTTTCCTTTACCAGAGAGTGAAGTCCCCGTGGACTCGGGCTCTTCGTTCGTCGCAAGAGCCATACCAGGGAGTCTATAATAGACTCCCTGGCCATACCATGTACTCAGCCGAGATGTCAGCGCATCCTTGCTGTGAGGTATTGCAGGTATGCGGTCGGATAGCAGACATTAGGAGATTAAGGATTCAAACTACGGCGGTCTCGAACGTGAAATACGGCAAAGGGGGATTTTAGACTGTGGTGGAGAATGACATGACTGATTTACTAAAACGAAGGGAAAGCATGAATACGCAAAATGTGATCACCAATTCTGTGTCTGCGCTTCGTGATTTCTGCAAGGAAACGTGAAAAACATTACCAGAGGACGTTTCCGAAGTCACCGGACTTCTTCGCGAATTGTACAAAATTGTATTCGAGTCTCGTAACAACAATTAATAAGGAACAAAGGTTAGATGCATTATCATTATCCTTATAAAAATACAGTGTTGCGCTTGCTCTATCTATTGAGGCAGCATCTGTTATTGCATTTGCTTTCAACGGGACTGGTATTCGTAAGTGATATCTGTACCTGTGTAAATAATGATTGATGGTTTGTCTTTGACAGCGGCATTGCCTCGAGAAATGACATCTAATGTTCTGGATTCATCTACTTTGGTAAAATTCTGCCTAACCTTAATTATTTATTTATTTATTTATTTACTTTCAATTAATTTTTTCGATATAATAGATTTATATATTTTCTCGATTTCTATATATTTGTAACTTATATCTTTAATATGTTACTGTTAACTTCAATAAAACTTACATTTGAAATGTTGTAGGTATGTGTGTAATGTTCTTACCTGTTTTTCTATTACCTGTTATGTTTTATGGAAAACAATTGTTGCTAATGAGCCAATTGTTTCATTCAGTTTGATAATTTTGATTAAATGATTAGCCATCTAATAAAACAGCAATTGTGTGGTTTGTTCTGGCAACATGTACTTTTATTCACCTCGAAAGTCAATGCAGCTCTTGCTACCATCCAGGGATAATTTATATTGTTATCTCGTACATATAGCCATGTGCACGTATACGTCTTAATTGTTTCCTATACCTGATAGCAATAGACAGACAGTCGATTGTCATCAACGTTTAAATAACATAGAATTTTAATGGTACCTAATAAAGACGACATTTCTAACATTAGAAACATTTCATTTTTAATTTATCCTTATCAAAAAAACAATTGATTGTCATGCGAGTTCATAGCATCTGGTGTCGATATGCCTCAAACAGGCACATCACAAATATCAAATATCTCTGCATACATAGCAATATAACAAATTCATGCGCAACCCTTGCATATGTACTAAATTAGGTATACCCGATGGTTGCATTCGTTAATTGTGCCCATAAGAAACGCATACGATTGCAATCGCGTATGCACCGCTTATTTGACGCCATACCATGCCTCTGTCATCTCTATTCTCAGTACGCCCACCGTGCACGCGCAAACGCGTCGATATACCCTACTGCCACCCATTATAACACGCATAGCGCGTGGAGCCATTATCTTTATGCTTTCGATAGATTCTGCTCTGCATAACATAAACCATTTCCCATGCGTTATGGAAACGATGATTGTACCCTGCGTTAAATATCCTGATTTTACTAAAGGTCTGATCATGGTAGATGGTATAATGTAGCATCCCTCCCCCTTCAAACTCCCCTCGCCCCAACAAAGACAACTTCTGTGAGAGAATCATTACGAAAACCATCAGTCAAAGAGTCATTGTGTGATGCCGTGCAGCCTTGTACACGCGGTCACTATTTTAAAATATTATTCAACTACAAGTGTCGGAATTTCGATCGAGACAAAGAAAGCTGCACAAGCACGCCGCCGCAGCCTATGCGAAGATATTTATATGCAAGCTATCTAGAGGCACGCAAGCGCTGCCGCGCGTGATAGGTTGGTTAGTCACGCCTGGCTGAAAGTGCGTGGCTGGCACTGGCTGCGAGTGAAACTTGTTCGCTTGTGGTTGCTGCGTTTATATGCTGGCGGACAGTGTGGCGCAGAACTCCAGCATGGATCCGCGTTTGTACTGCTGTGAATCGGTCGGTGAAGAAATGACACGAGCTCACCAAGATCCCGTTTTGATGCGAGATAGAAGAGTTGTGCAAAACCTCCTGTTGACAGAGGACAAGTATCTACCAAATTCAGGGTATTTTAAATGTGTTCAACAAGAAATACAGCCGTGCATGCGGAAAACGGTAGCAATGTGGATGTTAGAGGTAAGCATATGAAAGGGCTCCACCGCCTCCACGGCGATTGACATCGGTTACATTGATTGACTTTGATTGACATTGATATAACCTAGCCCGATTGTTTATACGCTAGAAAATTTCCAGACAGTGCAGCTAGACGTCTGAATTTGTATAACATTGTATATTATATAGTTGCCTTTTGCCTTGCTGTACTGTGTACACCACACTTCTGTTATCACTTATTATCAGTTGCTCGTTAAAATTCTCAGTATGGATTTATTTACCAAAGTTTTGTCAGTCAATGTTGTTGCATAATGTTGATACTTAATATTTGTTGCGCTTCATTTTATTCAGATATGCGAGGAGATGAAATGTGAAGAGGAAGTATTTCCACTGGCTATGAATTATTTGGACCGATACCTTTCAATAGTGCCATCAAGAAAAGCTCATCTTCAGCTTCTCGGAGCAGTGTGCATGTTCCTGGCTTCGAAGCTGAAAGACTCTAACCCATTAACAGCCGAGAAGCTGTGCTATTACACGGAAAACTCTATTAACTGTCAACAACTCATGGTACGTAGGTGGATTGTTTCCTGATTTTAGTGATACAAAGGTATAATATGTGCTTTTTATAGGAAATAGCAAAGATATGAACAAGTTAGATGCATAGTGTACATGGAGGTGTATCAAACGTTTATAAATATGTCACGAACTCTGAGGTAAACACTTCTGTGTAGATTTCGTGGGGGAGTGCAGTTGATGCTTGTTGTGTATTAGACCTACGGGTGACATGTTTCTGCCATTGGTCAGGCATTTCACACATGCCATCCAAATTTAGCATTGTGATCCCAAGGGTGTTGAAACTGCCAATGATCTTGTCTATTAACGGAGTGCAGTAACATTTATGGACTTGTGGATGTTCTTTTAGTTGCTTTGTAGTTGGACAAGTAGATGTGTGGTCTCTCAGAGACCTGAATAATGTCTGATTAGGACTGGAAATAGGCAGTTTATTGTCTGCGAATGGACTATTGTGCTCGGCAGCCGTGCAAAGACACCCACTGAGTAACAGTGGAGGCTGAACCAGTTGTCCCTATTCAGATCAGACCGTCTGAAAATATGCACAGCACTGTGCCGTTTATGCATCAAGATTGCACCAGGGCTCACACATTGTGCGTGCGATAGGAGCTACACACTTTTTTTTATATAAGAATTCTTTTTATAAGAATCATCGAGGCTCGATTTCCCAAATTTTAAGAATTTTTTAAGAATAATGCTGAGGCTCGATGAGTCGATCATCAGACACACATTGTCACTCGATTCAACGAGGTACACGGTGGCATGATGCGGCCTATATTGGCCTCGAAGACATTGATGGCGTAGAAGTCATATTACTGTAGTTTAACGAATTGCATATATTTTGAAAAGGAGGGGTTACTTTCTTGTTGTGTTATACATTGGTTCTTTTATTGGATATTAGTCTTTTCCTCTTTCGTTCAACCACCACGTTTTACATGCCATCGCATTTAACAGTTTTAATGAAAATATAAGTCGATTTTTTCAACAATTATTTAAGAATTATTTAAGGCTCAAAATGTCGATTTTCTAAGAATCACGAGGCTCAAAAAGAAATACGATACTTATATATAAAAAAAAGTGTAGGTAGATTAATGTAAATCCAACACACGCACGCACCCCCACGCGCGCACACGCACGCACGCACGCACGCGCGTTGGATTACATTATTGTATCTAGGATCTGAGCTATCGCTCTGATAAATATTGCAAATTATTACCGATCATCGTTCGGCAGCCAGTGATGTGGAGGATTTGTTTTTTGAAAGTAGTTTTTCGCATTCCGATCGTGCCTGGCCGGCCTGATGAGCGGCAAGACCCAGAAAGGGAACAGGTTTCATTGCGAAACTTTCCCAGGAGTTGTTGTGTACTCTGCCTGAACTCGCGGCTCGGAGCGCGGGCCGAGCTGAAGGGACGGACGGTCGCTGGCTGCATCATCTATTCCGTCGGACAGGCTTTTATGGCCAGCCGACTGTCCTATCCTAGCTTCCTATCGCGAAGTCTAACTCTCGTTTTGTTGTCCGGTTGCGTGGGATGTGGCCGGAATGTAAGCGAATGTGGCCGTAATGAAAGCAGCGGTGTTGTAGCCTCTTCTCCTCCCCTCCCCCGGTCCATCCATCGGGGGGGGGGGGAGAATGGTCGCCGAGTGACTTCTACAAATTAGCATTGTCACAAGTCAAGCGTGGCTATTTGATCTCGTCGGAATTGGGAAGCTTTGTGGGAGGGAATGCAGGCCTAGGGTCTCGCTGCTCATCTCTGCATGACCCAAGTGCCTTTAGTTTATTGACTATCCGGCATGCAAAAGTCACACAGTGCTTACGCTCCGTGTTTCTATTCAGGTTCATGCGCGCACGAGGCCACATGGCCACACCGCGCTCCTATTTAAACATGTGCTTAGGTCCTTGTTTGGCAATAATAAGATGAATTTGGGCAGACGCTTTTGAAATGGGGCGAAAGAATTTGTCGTGCACTAACGCGAGCTTGTTATGAGACATTGTGCGCGTGCTGCAACCCATAAACGTTGTGCGTGTGATTTCTTTGATTCAATAATATCATATGTAAAGTTTAAGGGTATATTTATATATTTATTAACACGGTGACCGGCCGGTAGTGTAAGCGGGCGAACACTCACACACGCACACACACACACACATGCACGTACGCACGCACACACACGCGCACACACACGCACGCGCGCGCGCACACACACACACACACACACACACACCAACACCAACACCATTGTATATTTGTGTATATATTTGTATATTATGTGGCACTCACTGTAAGATCACACTGTTGCATGCGTGCTTGCAGCGTCGACCTCTCTGTGGCTCTCTGTCTGATGACAGGTGTCCCGCACCGATGTACTGATAAAACGTTGTCAGCACACCTTGTGTGTTGGGCCTGCGCTGGGTGATTATCTCACCTGTGCAGGTTGGAATCCTTCACATGGACGAGCAGGTGTGCGGGCCGGCAGATGAGTTGCAGTTGGGTCGATTAGTTGATTTGGGGGGTTGCCCATTCTCAAACACAGACTAGGTTTGTGCGTGCGTGCGTGCGTGTGTGTATGTGCGTGCGTGCGTGCGTTCGTGCGCGTGCGTGCGGGGCTGATTAGTCTGTCTCATCAACACTAAATCTAGCATCGCGCGCGTGTTTGTGTGTGTGTGCGTGCGTGTGTACAAGCGTCTGCGTGTGTTACCATACGTGCGTTCGTGCGTGCGCGTGTCGAAAGGGATCTGACCAGTCTTTTCGGCAATAAACTAGTGCGGGCGCGCGTGTGCCTGCGCATGCGTGCCTGTGCGAGTGATTGTATGTGTGCGTGCGTGTGTCTGTCTGTCTGTGTGTGCGCACGCGCGTGTGTGTGTGGGTGGGTGGTAGGGGGTGTTCAGAGTAATCTCACCGCGCGGCGGTACAGAGCAAAGCAAAGGGTGACTTAAGATGCCCTTGCCTTCGCCAAATACTTGTAAATCACTGTTAACACAAACAGCAGTTGGCCGATAAGTGGGGATTGTCGGGACGGGCGGCCGCCTCCCCGGTGCTCAGATAAGGAGACCCCAGAGCAGCACACGTTTTCAAGGACGCTGGCCTTCCGATGTTTGCCATCCAGGTTTTATTGATCTCGTGTCGATGGATTTAAGGCCCACTGCCAGTGCCAGTGCACAGGTTCCTTCCCGTTCCATTTCTGAAAAGGTGCGTTCCCCCGACACATGGCTAGGGGGAGGGAGGGGTGAGGAAAGAAGGGAAGGGGAGGCGGTGGTATGCATCTAGCTGTAATCTACGATATCGGTCTGTCTGCATATAAGAGTTCGGTTTATATAAGAGCAGCAGTGCTGTTAAAACGTCTGAGAGCGCGCACTCCATGTATGCTTGCTTCATGTATGTGTATGCTTCCATTCCTGCGGTCAAGGTGCTTGTCATTTGCATGTGCGGTTCACCTGATTTATAGATATGTGCCAGTTCCCCCACTCCTTTCCTCCACCTACACATCCTCGTTTCGGCAATGCTGCGGTGGGTTGAGCGTGTGTAGGCGCATCCGTTCGTGGGAGTGCAATGCGCGAGTGCTAGTTTAATACGTTGATGCCTTTCCGTTATTTGCTCAATGTCCTTTACTCCGCTTACGTTCACATTCTCTTCTTTGCGATTTTCGAGATTAGCGTCTGAAATCTATCGCAGCGAGTACGCAGCCTCGCGTGACCTCGCGTGAACTTTCGTTCGCTGAAGCCCTTGGGAGATGCGTCGTGTGTGATGCACGCATGCGCGCGCACTAGGCGCGTCTCCGCCCTATTTTGCGTGTTTTGCACGAGCGCTACGATGGCTGCATTCTTGCCTTGCTCAGCAGCAGCTCCGCCCAGCTCCTGATCTTCCGAGCTTCTTTTAACCCATAAAGAGTCAAGTACCTTCGCGAAGGTCGGGTGTAAGTTTTGTCGGCTGGTAGGCGCAGTGTAAGTTTGCGTATAGTTGCTTTTTGCACGGCGACGACGAGGAGCTCTAATAAATCTAACGCATTGCAGCAGCAGCAGCAGCAGCAGCAGTACATTGTTGTTAACAGCTGGGGTTGAAGGTGGTGGTGGGGGTGGGGTGGGGGGGGGGGGGGGGGTGAGTGGCAGTGTGGAGTTGCATGTTTATATCTCAAGAAGCTTCCCATTGTGGTAATTAGATTGCAAAGCTATTGTGTCGGCGAGAATTACGTCTGCTATTGTCAGACTAGATTACGTAGTTGTTTGTTGCCGCACGCTGTGCGCTCACCCCCTCCCCGCAGGTTAGCCCTGTGTTTGGGAACAGGTTACCAGAGTGCTGTTTGTCAGTATAGGTTGGTCACACACTGCAGGTGTCCGCATGAGTTGTGAGCACCAAATTAATGTGTAAAATGTGCCAAGTAAGCTACTTCTAAGCGTAGGTTCATGGCAGCCGATCTCTTGATCGTAGCTGAAAAACGACCCCGAATCGGTCTTCTACTCCCCCCCCCCCCTGTGAGCGAGCCAAACACCCCCACCCCACCCCACAGTACCATGTAGTCACGAAGGGGCTGCCAGGTAAGATTTGTTTACATACCACCACTCGATAAACTTGCTTGGCCGGCGACAAATTCCACCGGCGCGCGGCACAATACCAGCACAAAACACGAATTTGTTTACAATGTGTGCGTGTGTGTGTAGTGTGTAACTCGTTCGCCACGATGCACGCAGCGCGCCCGTGCGCGATTCTGCCGTGCGTCCGAATAGCCTTTCTACCCACTATGCGCAGCAGCAATGCCACGATGGCAGATTGTGATCAAGAAACTCTATCAGAGGTCGGAATTTCCATTTCGATTATGTTTTACGACCCATAAAATCGCGTCTGGTCTTCTTTTCTAAAACGCGATCGCTCTCACGCCCCGCACCGCCTCTCGAACTCGAATTCCAGGTCGAGCCGCGACGTTAATTAACTACAACGGCGTGTGTAATTAAACGAGGGTGTTTAATTAAGGTTTTCGTCTCTAACACCCCCCCTCTTCCTCTCCCCAGGACTGGGAAGTCTACGTGCTCAGTCGGCTAAAATGGGACCTGTCGGCGGTGACGGCGCACGACTTTCTCGAGCATCTGATGTCTCGGCTGCAGCTGACCTCGGACAGAGCCGACATGGTACGACGACACGCCCAGACCTTCATCGCCCTCTGCGCTACAGGTGAGTGACTCGTCGCGAGCGTGGGTGTGTGGGCAGGTGGGTCGGGTGCCGGGGGGGGGGTCGGGTGACGGTCAGACAGATCTTCTCATCTCGTCCGATCTCTCTACTCTCTCTCGTCTCTCCTCCTCACTCTCTTCCCCTCTCCGTCCCTCCTCGTCCTCTCTCTCTCTTCTCTCTCTCTCTTCTCTGCTCTCTCTCCCTTCTCTCGTCTCGTCGTCAGTCTCGTCTCGTTCGTCATCTCTGCTGCGGATCTCTTCTCTGCTCATCTGCTCATTACTCTCAGTGCTCATCTGTTCCTCTCTCTTTCTCTCCTCTCTCTCTCTCGTCTCTCTCTCTCTCTCTCCTTCTCCCTTCTTATCCTCTCTCGTTTCTCTTCTCTCCTCTCTCTCAACTTCTCTCTCTCTCTCTCTCTCTCTCTCTCTCGTTCTC